TAGTCTGGGGACTTTTCTTTACCAATTGCCCTGCAGCTTCACACATTTCTTCCCTTCTTTTCTGATTTTTATGGTTGCAATTTCCTTTTATACTTCCTAAGTTATTAAGGACTATTTTGAATAAGAGTGGAGAACATATATATACTTGTCCACTTTTTGCCCATGTATTTTGAGGTGTGGTCTCTATATGCAACCCTAGCTGGCTTGGACTTGCTATGTAGGCCAGACTTGCCATAAAAAGACAGGGCTTTGACTGCCTCTGCCTCCCAGAGTTTAGATTAAGATATGTACCTCAACATACAACTGGCCTCACTTAGGATTTTAATGGAAATTCTTGAGTTTCTCTTCATGTAGGACAATGTTGTCAAGTAATTTGTCATGGAAAACATTTTTAAAGTAATCAGGCTGGAAAATATTAATTAATTAATTAAAAGAAATCTCGATTTAGTCAAGATGTGAACTTTCTTTTGTGTCTTTTTTTAATTTTAATTCTGAATGAATGCTGAAATTCCTATGGGCACGTTCTGCACATATTTGGATGTTCCTCTAGTTCTATCATGAGTCTATTTATGTGCCACATTTACATAACTGATCTGCATATATTGAACCCAACTTGTATCTCTGGAATGCAGTCATCTTTACCAGAGGGGCAGATATTTCTGTTGTGCTGTGGATGTTTTGTTTTTGGATGTTTTTTTCTGTTTTTTTTTTTTGCAGATTGGTGTTGAATATTTATTTATTGGGTTATGGAAGGGAAAAGGAAAAGGGATAAAAGAGTAGAGAGAGAGGCAGAGAGGGGGGAAGAAGTGGGCAGAAGAGGGACAGAAGCTGCCTCTTTGGGAGAGAGATGGAAAGGCATGTTGTTGAGTTTTATTATTCAGGTATAGTTCATAATTTTTACTAATATGTCCATCAAAATGTTTAGTCTCTAATTTTCTTTATTATGCTACATTTCCTCAAAATTCTCCCTCCCCCATTTTTATAAAAGTAGTCTCTTCATGTTTGTAGGTTAAGTTTGGTATTGGAAGCAAAAATTACTGCTGGTTTTACAGCCAATCTTGATGTTTGTGTATTTTGACTAGAGATAGGAAAAATTAACATAAAAGTGTTATTAAGAATTATTTGCTAATTATTATTGCTCATTGTTATAATTGCAATATTTGATACTTTTAATAGTTGTTTATCTGTCTGGTGTTCTATCCCTGTCACTATATATTTTCACCACTTGTAGTTATCTTAATTTTCCTGTTGCAAGAGTTCGTCAGATGTCTTCCTTAAGTGTTAGAATGGTTTTGAATTCCTAGAATTTATTTTCATCACTGAATTTTGTTCTGTCTCTGTATTAGTTAGGATTCTTAGGAGTAAAAGTCTTACACAACAAAACTATCTCTGTTTCTCTTTCTATATCTGGCTCTTTCCTCTACATATATACATATGCAACTTATTAGAATTTCTTGTGATCTAGCAAAGCCATGATTTCTGAATATGAATGGAAAGTTCAAGAATCCAACAACTTCTCAGTCCATGAGGCCGAATGTCTCAACTGATCTCCATTATACAGTGGAATCCCAAAGAAATACCCTTAATGTCAGTGGAATAATAAACTTGAGAATGAGCAAAGAGCAAAAGTTTTCTTTTTCTATGTTCTTATATGTGTTTCCAGCAAAGGGTGTATCCCAGATAAGAGGTGGATTTACCAAGATGAAATGATCTGGATTAAAGTTGTGTCTTTCCAAGTTAAAATCCAAATAAAAGACATGTATTTCCACACTTAAAACATATCAATTAATAGCAAGTCTTCTATCTCTCAATCTCTCTCTCTCTTTCTCTCACATACTCTTTCTCTCTGTGTTTCTGTCTCTGTCTTTCTCTTTCTCTCTCTGTCTCTCTCTTTCTCTCTCTGTCTGTCTCCATCTCTGTCTTTTTTAGCCTGTTGGCCTTCCTGTCTGTTTGTCTTACTTCTTTTTTATCTTTATTGTTTTTGTTTTGCTTTTATTGGCAAGTTTTATAATTACCCTGGCTGTTCTGGAACTCACTGTGTAGACCAGGTTGTCTTCCAACTCAGTGATTCCCCTGCCTCTGCCTCAAGAGTTCTGTGATTAAAGCCATACACCACCACTGCTCTTTGTAGGGTGTTTTTTTTCTATCTCAAAGATATGGATAAGAAGTGGATCATTTTATTTCACATTAAGCAAAAATACCTTTCAGTTTTGCTCTACATATTTGGGTTTTGTTAAATTCTAAATACTCTCAACTTGTTAACCAAGAAGAGTCATCACAGTCTCCTTCATTTATAAAAGATAACTTTGTTGAGTATAGTAACTGGGGTTGGCAGTTATGAATCTAAATGCTTCAGTTCTATCACTGATACTGTGCTATTTTAAGAGAGCTCATGAAGGAATCTACTGTAATCCATGTGGGGAATTTCTATGAAATGGACTTCTTTCCTGAAGTCTTCAACTTCTTCTCTTTGTCCTGTATATTTTGCATCCAAAGTAAAATATGTCAGGCGAAGGTTCTCTTCTGATATTATGTGTTTGGTGTTTAAATGTCTCCTGTTTCCAGAGATCTACATGTCCCACTATATTCTGAAAAATCACTTTTACATTTTATTGGATATACTGTTGATGCTTATGGGATATCCTTCTCTACTGGTTATAGGTTAAGAATTGAACTCTTTAATTTTATCTTTTTGGCCTCACACATCTTTTTTTTTCTTATTTGTATCTTCATCATAGTTTCAGATTTCTATTTTCAGTCTGGTCTTTGAGACTTTCCACCTTGTCTTCATATTGTACTATTCTGTTAGTGATACTTTCACTGATTTTTAGGGGATTTAATTTGTCTTTCCTTTACATATCTTAGTGTAAATATTTTCACTATTTTGTGCCTCTTGTTATGTATCTGTCACACACTTACAGAGTTCTGTATTGTGTTCAAGTTCTTGTTAACTCATTGCATTGTTCTTGAGGTTGTTTGACTTTTAATATCAGCTTTGAATTCTTTGTTTGGTACATCATTGAACACATCTTGTTTAAACCTCTGACTCTAACATTTGGAGTTATATTGCTTAGATGTCTTCATATTTTTCTTCACTTGAATGTGCATTAAAATTTGCATATATTGAAGCATAGCCTCAGTTGATTTGTTTGTAATGTTCTGTATTCCTCCAGTGGATATTTCCAACATACTCAAGTGAGGGTTGCTTACTGCACATGTGAAATTTTATTGCTGCTCTCTGAATTGGTATATAGTTCAGTAGTTAAACCTTCAGATCAAATTTCCTTTTCCCTGAGAATGACTCTCCTCATCACTCTGAAAAAGGATATTAACTGTAGATTTCAAACTACCTGGGCTACCTGAGATATAACTTCAGATAAAGCTTGAAGTCTCTCTTAAAGTTAACTCCTTTAAAATTCCAACCACTTTGTAGTTTGGAAGTTTGAATTAGAGACCTTAAAATCACCTTCATGAGAATTCTTATCTATAACATACATAAAAACCATAGTGGAATATATTGTTTATAAATTTTCAAAAGCAAACTTCCTTACTACCAATACCTACACACAAAGAGATAAGGAAACTAGATACACATTTGTTTGTTTTGGGTGAACTCTGAAAGAATTAATGGGATCAAGCAATGTTCCTCTAGTGAGAAATTTCTTTTACAGTATAAGCTTCAGTGCTCGAGAAATGGTTCAGCTGTCAATAACAATTCCTCTTCATGAACAGATGCAAGATTCATTTATAGTTCACCCTTTGTGGAACCCAGTTGCCTCCAGTTTCCCAGAAATCTACATCATTGTTCTGACCTGCATGTGCACCAAACATTCTAGTACTGCACAGAATATGTGCAGAAAAACACTCATACCAACAGAAAAGAATAAGAAAAAACAAGGTTACAATTCATAAGGTTTCTAAAAGGATCAAAAATACTATGGCATGATGTGGGAGAATTGTCTGTATTCTATCTATCATATTTTAAATAAGCACTGATTGGCCAGACAGGAAGTATAGGTGGATCAACCAGACAGGAAGTAGAGGTGAGGCGATGAATACAGGAGTATTTTAGGAAGCAGGAAGTGCCCTCCGCAGTTCTGCCCAGACCACTGGAGAAGCAAGGTGTAAGCTGCCCCACTGAGAAAGGTACTGATCCATGTGGCTAATACAGATAAAATTAATGGGCTAACATAGGTTATAAGAGCTAATAAGTAGCCTGAGCTAATGGGCCAATCAGTTTATTTTATGAAGTCCTCTGTGTGATTTTCTTTGGGGCTTGCCGGCTGCGGGGTACTGGGAGGGACAGATACCTCAACTAGCAGGACCCTCATGCTACAATGTCAATATATTGACAATTTAGAACCTGTCAGCAAAATTGCTTAAAGCAAATTATATAATAAAAATGAATGATTTGCATATGTTTATTTTTCTGCTCCCTTACAACAAGCCACAGTCTTTCAGCATCTGTATAGTAATCAGAATGAGACCAACAGAATATTTCTCGATTGCAGGAAATAAGATTAAATGGTGATATTCACCAGTTTTCAATTTATAATAAAAGCTAGAATCGTGTTCTGGTATGATAAAATTCACATTATCCATGTATGAAATCCTGAAACCATTCATACAATGTCACATCAAAAAACTGAAAAGAAGGCTGGGCGGTGGTGGCACACGCCTTTAATCCCAGCACTCGGGAGGCAGAGGCAGGCAAATCTCTGTGAGTTTGAGGCTAGCCTGGTCTACAAGAGCTAGTTTGAGGACAGGCTCTAAAACTATAGGGAAACACTGTCTCAAAAAACCAAAAAAAAAAAACCCCCAAAAAAAAACAAAGAGAGAGAGAGAGGAAAAAAACTGAAAAGAAGAAACATATTACAGAAGGCTCAAAATGGCTCCTAATGTGACAATCTACTTTTACTAAGTTACACTGAAGCACAAGTGAACCCACGTGACAGGGTTACTGCTGTGTAATGTAAATCAGTTCATCAGGTCAGACCTACCTGTCTACTTCCTGTGGCCCACTCTAGAACGTCTTCATATAAATGGAGCTGTTGACCATGTGGAAAATACGGGCTAAACATTCCTATCTTCACCTTAAGTCCAAGACCATTTGGGAAATTCCAAAGCTGGAAAATGTCATACTCTGGCTGCAGTTTTTCTTTCTGGTTCATATTCACTCTGTCCCCAACTGGACTAGTGAAGTGGGTCTTCCTAATTAAGGAGTACAGCTGAAAGACAGGCAGAATTCTTTAGTGAATGTGCCCTTCCTTGAAGTCAGAAAATATATTCTGATTTCATCTTAAATGCTACTTTCTTGAATATGCCCATGTGAGAAATCTCAATGAAAGCAAGTAGATAAATGGAAATATAATAGCGGTGCTAAAATTCTATTTCTTTCAGAAGAAATACCAAGCATAAGCACAGACATACATGAAGTCACCAATGATAAGTATTAAATATTCATAAACACACAGAGAGACTTATATTCATACATAGGTACATACATAATACAGGCACATACCATTTACACATACATACACCTGAAGCCAAGAAAGGATATGAACATACAGACACACAGAGACAAACTTATTCGCTCAGACACAGAGAAAGAGAAACCAATAAAAACATACACAGGCCCACACACATGTTCACAAACTCATGGATGAATATGCGCAAGGAGACATATACAGATATAGACAGCCATGCAGGGAGACATCAACACAGACAAATTTATCCTCAAATGCGAAGACAGACAGATACACATACAGAGGAACAGAAATACAGATATACATATGTACAACACACTCATCAAAACATGCCCATACTCAGTAACACAAATATGCATAAGTGTAAGCACAACCAAAAAACACAGACAAATCACACACATGGGCACTTGTAGACACATGCACTGACAAATACACATAGGGAGAGACACACAAAAACACACCCATAGAGAAAGATATTGACACAAGGCCAATTTATTCTTCCTTATACAGACAGGTAGATATGCAGATAGATAGAAACACATATTTAACATCCAAACAGACATACCCAGAAGTACAGAGAAACACACAAACATTCACTCTTACACAATAAGAACCATCCATTCACACACACGTGAGTTTTCCAGACCCAGAGTTGGGGGCAGAATCAGTTTAGAACACCTGTGCAAACCACACTCTACACTGATTGCCACATATTTGTCAATTAAGGAACAAAAGCTCATCTTTTTATCATGAAGAGGATTAATGAAGAAGACTCCCGTGTTTCCAGTATTACAGCAGGGGTGATGATAGTCAGGTACACTATAACAGAATTATTGATTTTCATTTAGAAATTATGTCTCCCACACTACAACGTTTGCATTTGAGATTTTTCCAAACTTCTAAATTTACTGCCTACAGAGGAAAAATGTTTCTATTTGAGGAAATATATCCTAACACACTAGAATGGGACAACTGAAACTCTAATAAAATCTGATATAGAAAACAATGAGTATTATCAAATAGAAATATTACCTCCAAGCAGTTAGACAAGTGTACTTCCTGATTGCCCATTGACTGAATAAGCATCTCATGGTAGACATGGGCCATAGTATACACAGCATTGTATATGTCATAGCTGTCATCACTAAAAGCCATGTCAAATGTCTGTGCAATCAGCCATTCCAATGAGCTGTTGGATGAGCTTTTCCTCAGAGTCTTACACATAGAATCCAAGATTCCACAATTAAAGTTCATCCATTCCAGCCTTGCCAGGTATTCATCTGAGTATTTGAGAGGGTTCACTGTCTGGATAAAATTTCTAAGACCAGAAATCTCAGCATGGTGGTGTGCAAATGCCAGAGTCCCACGGAACAATTCAGGCAAGAAGTCACTCTTACTTGAAGTGACTTCCCACTGTGAGGTGGTGACCCATATTCTCTGTATACCTCGGGAGACCCACGTTCTAAAGCTGACAGCTAGAGTACTGTCTGTGTCACCGTAAATGATAACAACATTTGTGGATGATGTCAAGATTTGGTTATAATACACTTCAGCTCTTGACATGTATAAATGCATGCTGGGTGGAATCATGTTCACAAAAGCAAAGCAAAGGATACTTTTTTCCATCTCTGTTCTCAAATATGAGAGAAATTGGATACCCTGATCATTGTCTGAGACGGTCAGTCCAACCCAATTCCAACTGAAGTAAAGTATGAGGGAGACCATGGCCAGGGGTAGAGATGTATCTTCAGGGGCCATTTGATACAGAAAAGGAAATTGTTCACAATCACTCAGGGTAGGATGGAAGGGTCCATAGGTTAGCTGAAGAATCTAGGAAACAGAGCAGCATGAGGTAGCATGCACTGCTAAGGACTTGTTAAAAACCCTTTCTGCAAAGAATTCTAAAACACCCTCTTTCTGTTACTTCTTCCCTCATCTAAATTTTAAAATGTAAATATAGAAGTCCCCTAAAGTCTCTGAATAGTACCCATGGACTACACAGTTTGAAATAAGTGTAGGCCTGTCTCCTCCTCATGCTTTTCTTAGCACCCTAGAATGGACCCAATGGAGACAGGGTTTCTTGCAAACCCACAACCACACAAAATCTCACCTGCTGATGAATGATGCTGTGCATGGCTTTCCCAACCATAGAAGATACTATCCAGCTTGGTCCTGAAAGCATAACTACACATTTCTTCAAATTTACACACTTATAATTAGGAGTAATATCATCAATGTTGAGAGAATGTTCAAGGCAACTGCGTAATTGTGACACAGTCTTACATCGACTTGACAGAATTTCAAAATGGAAAGACATATTTGGTAAAAGATCAGGGTTTCTGATGACTTCATCCAAGGAAAAAATGAAGGCCAATACAAATTTATAGTTTTCCTTTGGTGTTCTGTAAAATAATAACAGTGTTTAATGGGACAAATACCTACAGAAAATCATGTACAATGAATATGAGGACTATCTGTACTGAATGGTAATTCCAACCACCCCCAATGTTTGAAATGAATCTTCTGTGTTGTGATATTCAGATGACATAAGAAGCTGCAAGCTTGAAAACACTTTAAAATTTCATAAGAGTGAATCTCTAATATAGAAGATGCGCCATCGTCACCTTTCACTGAGAAACTTGTCCATCTCTGGTTTTTGAGTGTTTGCTCAGAAGGTAAAGATAAGGCCACAGGCTTTGACCAAAGAGTAAACCTGGTCATGGTTTCAGTTTTAAATTATTGAACAATAAAAATATACATGATGTGTGAAGCATTGAATTTACTGTATTTTCTGTGAAATTAACTGAATTGGCTAAGGCAGTCAAAATGTCTGATGAGTGTAAAATAGAATGGATAATATTTGGCTCTTCTACTTACAATTATTTTTAATCAGTGGTAATGTACTTAACATATCCTATCCTGTTCATCTTCATTTTCTTCCTTTTGTTTCTTGTTTATCTTTTTCATGGATAAAATCTTTTTTAAGTTGTATTTTAAAATGTATTCAAATACCAGAGGTGTATTTTGTAAAGATGTATGTCTGTATGCATCTGTGTATATGGACATTATTAATGCATATTTAGGTCATAGATAATGAGTGGATTTCATAGTTTTTAATGATCCTTTGCTGTAGACTGGACTTGCCTCAAAGGCATGGGGTTATACCTACTGCAAGGCTTGTACTTCCTCCCCTATTTTATGCTTACACTGATATGCCATATATTCATACTAGGTGTATCTGGCCAACATAAATTTTCCTCTGGAAAATATCTTTTCATATATCTTTCCAGTTACACTAACACAAAATTGTCATCCTACTGGGATGTATATGTGCCAGTATTAGATGTTTGCAAAATAGAAGACCTTAGTTGTAAACTGTATGGAAAATATTTATGGACTTTCATGTAATAAAAATGGGTAAGTAGTCACTTGGAAGAGAATGATATCAATTTGTGTTTCTATGAATGAGAAGAATAATAATTGCTGTTTTCTCCTAACTCACTGCATATCATCTGTCCATTAAATATCAAACACGCATTATCATTTTGAATAATTCATTCCGAGTTAAAGACAATCATTTCACCACTTAGAAATTGTACCACCGTGGTTTTTTATGTATGAAAATAGGTATTTATCTATATATTTTAAAATAAAAATTTAGAATGTTCTTTATTACCACACAGAAAATATAGCATTGAAAATTTCAGTAACTTGCAACAGGAATCTGAGATTAGAACTTGTGAAACTCAAACCCTAAGTCCTGTAAACTAAGTATTAAGAAACATCTATAATTTGAGACAATAAAGTGACCTAGTGGATTAAATTTCTGTGTTTGAAAACAGCTGTTAACAATTGATATTATCAAAATATGTATATTTCAAAAGTTGGCAAAATGGGCAGAAATTAATTAATAAAATGACACAGAAAAACATGAGAGGTCAATGCGATATGAGGGTCAGAGAATAAACAACTTAGACATGGAAAGAAAAGACACATGCCTCTTAAATAATGACAGAGATGAACCTGGTAGGTACCTCCTCTATCCATGTTATCAGGTAGTGGCAACTATCAAATGCCACAACTGGCACTAAAGCAAGTGACAGCAGAAGTGAGCAGTCACCACTATTAGTGACAGTTTCACTTTTCAAAAAATACAAACCTATCAATTAATACATTCTTTCTTTACACTAACGTTTGAGTGAAGAAATGGACTTTGAAAATGAAGCCCAGTGGTTGTGCAGGTGTATATGTAAACTATGGAGGAACAGGAACTCATAGGAAGTTCAGAGTGGACAGGTCTCCTACTTCCTGTCTTGATGCATCTTTAAAAGTTTTGTGTGACCACATGCAGAGCATCTGAGAGAGTAACTGAAAATCTATGTGAAAGCTCTTTACAGCTAGCAGTACCAAAATTGTTAGTTGTCCTAGCATTGAACATAGGACTTACACATTGATGGAATGTTCATCAGGGGACTCTATGGCCATTACTTCTACCCAGTTAGGATGACATTCATAGAAAGAGAATGGGGTTTCTTTAGACAAGGCATCACCTGCTACTGTGCTGTGGAAACTGTGAAGAGGCAGGCTATATGTGACAGAAACAGTATAGAGTACGTATTCACACAGCACCCAGTCTGGTAATTTGGAGGGTGACTGGGAGAAAAATAGAACATTCCCTGGAAAAAATTAAAAGTAGAAAAACAACGTGTAATCTCTTAAAAAATGTGGTGTTATTTATTTGTATGCAGGTTGGGAGAAGAGGGCAGAAGATTCAAGGCATTGTTCAGATGTTAATCCTCTTGACCCCTCATGGAATATCCAGGATGACATTTACATAGAAAATACAAAGGCACTTACCCTTCATTCAAATGGCCTTTCAAATACTCAGCAGCATCTGTTCTATTTATGGGGCTAGTAAAGAAGGTGTGATATGTTAATGAGTCTCCATCATCCTCTTCCTTCTGCTTCTTTCTCCAAAAGCACCTGGGACTAATGGAACTGGGCTCCTGAGGTAAAATGTTCTGAAGCAAGAAGAACAAAACCAAAGTAAGCATGTTTGTCTGCTCTAAGTCTGGACAGATGAATCAAGACAGGCCATGCAGATCAGTACATCAAATCAACACCTGGGTATCGCCACTTGCTTTTATTTGTGTGGCCAAGTGAGAAGCTACTTATGCATTCACGAATCCTTTCTTTTTGTGTGTGTGCAGATGTTTTCTTATTCGTTGAGAAAACTTTGACACTCTCTTCCCTGAGGCTCTGCATCTGATTTCCAAAAAACTTGTGATGAAATTTGGTTTATGAATAGATACAAGTACAGATATGCTAGTTTTATGACATCACTCATTATTTTTTTGGAAATTATGCCCCTGGGAAGATGCCAATTTAAGAAAATTTGGTCCCATGACAGCCTTATCAATGTGTTTATGTTAACACCTTTAGAACTGATGTCAGTAGATATCTTTGAATGATCCACAGTGAGACATGCACATTGATTCAGAGGACTCACGATGTCAGAATTTACGGTTCCTCATTGGGAATTGTTTTACCGAGTCCATGTCAGGGAAAATCAGCTCCATGTTTAGAGCAATTGAACACCACACAGCACACACAGTGGGGCCTATTCTATACAAGTGACAGGTCCAAAATATCTAACCAAAGCCTGTGCTTACATTGTCTTGAAATCCATTAATCAGACCAAACCCAGAAATTTTCTGAATCCTACGGCTCCAAAACCACCCAGCTCATCATAGAACCACACTTTATTTTCATGTTGAATGCTGATTTTTAAGTATTCAGATGATTCAGAGAGAAAACCAGACCTCTGTGCCTCATTACTAATACTACACAAGACCTATCACTCCTCCTCCCAGCCAATCATTATTAATGAGAAGCTGAGTATTAGGTTTCTAAATATAATCTCCCTCCCAGGTCCTCTGTTCAAGGAGATCAATACTGTGTTTTGACCCATTTCTTCCAGTTATCTCTGATACATTATTTTACTCATTTTTAATCCCGTAGAGCCTTTAAAGAGGTTTTGTTTATTATCTTTGAGGCAAAGAGAAACTGGGAAGTAATGTTGTGTTTACGGCTAAATTCTTCTTATACCATTTTCCTAGTATTCTACTTAGACTGCCTTTTAGAACCTATACTGTCACTGTGGGAGCTTTCTGCTTAGTGCGGGCTGGAGAGCCTCTTTTAGTGGAAATGGACTACAGAGAAAGTAGGACAAACTTAGGGCAAGCGTTTTGCTGTGGGTGGCGATATGACTTACTTAGTACTTGATATGAGGCAAACAGGACTAGTGTTCTCCTTAGATCTCATTGTGTAATTCAAAATAAACAGGGGCTGGGCAGTAGTGGCACATGCCTTTAATCCCAGTGCTTTGGAGGCAGAGGCAGACAAATCTCTGTGAGTTCAAAGCCAGCCTAGTCTACAAGAGGTAGTTCCATGACAGGCTCCGAAGTTACAGAGAAACCCTGTCTCGAAAAATCACAAATAAATAAATATTAGAAATAAGCATGTGAAAACTTGATTATCTGGGCTGTTCATCTGGGAGGCTGGACACTAACCTGTAGAAAAAAAAAGCTATGTTGATCAGATTCACTCAGTATGAATAAATGGAATGTTGAACCTTATAGAAGAGAAAGTGGGAAGTACACTTGAACACACTGGCACAGGGAACCACTTCCTAAATAGAACCCCAGCAGAAAGTAGAGTGTTTCCTGAGAATAAAGTACTTTACAAAGGCTGCAGATACTGCAGAACCTGGATAAAAATTAAATAACTTAAAGTTAATTGAAAGATTTCTTAAAGTTTAAAATATCTACAAACCATTAAAAAAAATGGTGATGGGGTCTATATACTGCATTGGAAAGCTGCCAATGTTGCAGGCTCACATTGCATGCTCTGTTCAGTGCTGAGTTCAGTGTTGAAACTGCAGTGTCTCCTATGCACAGGCTCTTTCATATTCTCCACAATATGGTTAGGAACAAATCTTCCCTTTTTCTTCTCCTTCCTTGAAGGCATGTTTCACAGTGTAGTGGTGATAGACCTCCCTCATTCTTTCTATAGACTAGGCTGACTTAGATCTCACAAGGATATGCCTCTTCAATTTCCTGAATGCTGGGGTTAGTTAGACATGTATGCTACCAATGGACACATCTCTTCCCTTCTTTTCTGATTTTTATGGTTGCAGTTTCCTTTTATACTTACTAAGATATGAAGGATTATTTTGAATAAGAGTGGACAACATGTATAAACTTGTCCACTTTTTGCCCATGTATTTTGAGGTGTGGTCTTTATTTGCAACCTTAGCTGGCTTGGACTTGCTATGTAGGCCAGACTTGCCATAAAAAGACAGGGCTTTGACTGTCTCTGCCTCCCAAGTGTTTAGATTAAGATATGTACCTTAACATACAACTGTCCTCACTTAGGATTTTAATGGAAATTCTCGGGTTTCTCTTCATATAGCACAATGTTGTCCAATGGTTTGCCATGGAAAACATTTTTAAAGTGATCAGGCTGGAAAATATTAATTAATGAAAGAAAACCTGATTTAGTCAAGATGTGAACTTTCTTTTCTGTCTTTTTTTTATTATTTTAACTCTGAATGAATGCTGAAATTCTTATGGGCACCTTCTTCACATATTTGGATGATCCTCTAGTTCTATCCATGAGTCTATTTATGTATCCCTTGAATGCAGTCATCTTTACCAGAGGGGCACATATTCCTGTTGTGTTGTTGAGGTTTTTATTTTGTTTGTTTTTTATGTTTGCTAAAATGACTACATTTGTAAAATTGAATTACATGGCAGTATGTCTTTGATACCAAAAGGTGGAAGATATGCATACGTTGTGATTTCCAAATAGAGTAGAACATGTGAAACATTTATTCATTTGGTTGCCGGAGTTTAATGCCAGTAGATAATTAACATACCAAGAAAATATCAAGGTGTCCTCTTCTAAACTTAAAAGAAAACAATAACACCAAGAAGAGAACAACAATCAAAACAACAACAAAGTAACAATATCATGTAGGGCATCTTCAGAATATGATATGCAGATATGCAGTGATCTGAACATTATTGCAAGAGCGAGGCTGGTGTTTGTCACTTTTTCCACCTCACAGTGTGGTGTTCAGTCATCCTGTTCAGGGCACTAAGGTTAGGAGCAGTCCATTTCTGATGATTGCCCTCAAGACTGATGGCTGTTTTCCAGACTCTCCTTGCTATTCCTTAACTCTGAGGCTTCAAACTTGAAGGGAAGAATGTTATATTGATTAGAAGAAGTGTGTCCAAGACTTCTGTCCACCTCATGTACATGTGTCTTCAAGCAGAGTGGGAATGTCAGACAGTTGCTTGATCAGAATGTAAAACCAGAGGCCCTTTGGATAAGGATGTTAGTATAGACACCATACATAACAGAAAAGGAAGATCTGAAATTCTCTTGGCCAGATGTGAAGTTTGAATACTTCATTAAAGGAAAAGAGTATGTGTGAGACACCCTTGGTCAATGGGAACACTATTGAAGGCCTCATATTCAGACATTGAATGTCTCCCACATAAGTCCAATGATTACTTCCCAGCTTTTCACAAGCCCACAAAGTCCCTTAGACAGAGAATTCCTGTCCCACATGAAAAGGAATTTGTGGTTTAACCTATACCAGATGAAGAAACTGAGTCACAGACTTCTGTCGTGCAGCCTCTTAAAAGACTTCTAAGACTGCTGACATGCCTGACATGGACATTCAGAAAATGTGTATTCTAGATTGTGATTTCAAGTTTGGTGTTGATGAAAAAATCTGAGCAGCTGAACATATGCTTGAGAAGGAGAACCAGCTTGGGATTCTCATGCAGACTTTTAGAAAATACTCAGATTGCTGCCTCACCTACCACACAGTGGACAGATGTTCGAGTCTCCAATGAAGAGCTGGAAGCTGATAAGGATGTTCCTGGAATGTGTTCCACTATATGAGGTGGGCTGAGCCCTTGATCTCATGTCAAGCAGTGCATATGCTGATTTACAGCTTCACCCAATCCAACATGTTAGTCTGTATCTACAATAGACCCAGATTTCCACACTCCTCACAAGACGCCCTCAAACATTTCCCAACTGACCCTGGGGTCCTTGTATTTTCTCCAGGGCTCTTGTTTCCTCCCTTCTTCCCCATGCACCATGGCAAGCCTCCGACCTCTCACCTCTGACCCTTTGATCCCTATTTGTACAATTCTGACTTATGAGGTTTTGTTTTTTTCTGTTTTGTTTTGTTTTGCTTTTTTTCAGAGTGAGGTTGTATATTTATTTATTGGGTTATGGAAGGGAAAAGGAAAAGGGAGAAAAGAGTAGAAAGAGAGGCAGAGAGAGGGGAAGAAGTGGGCAGAAGAGAGACAGAAGCTGCCTCTTTGGAAGAGAGATAGAAAGGTGTGTTGCTGAGTTTTATTACTCAGGTTTAGTTGGGAAGTTTACATCCATGTGCATTAAAATCTTTAGTCTCTATTTTTTATTATGTTACATTTTCTCAAAATTCTCCCCCTCCAATATTTATAGATCCTGCCTATTCAAGAGCATGCGATATTTACTCATTTTCTTGTATCTTCTTCAATTTATTCAAAGACTTAAAGTTCTTGTCAAATAAGTCTTTCACTTCTCTGGTTAGTGCTATCCCTATATGTTTTAAGTTATTTGTGGCTATTGTGAAAGGTTATGTTCCTCAGATTTCTTTCTCAGTTTCTTTATCATTTGTATATAGGAAGGCTACTGATTTTTTTTTTTTTGGTTTGTTTGGATCCTGCCACATTATTGAAGTTATTTATCTGCTTGAGGAGTGCCCTGGTAGAGTTTTGAGGGTGACTTATATATACTATTATATCATTGGCAAATAATGAAAGTTTGACTTCTTTTAAAACTTGAATCCCCTTGATCTCCTTTTGTAGTCTTATTGCTATATCCATAGGTGAAAGAAGTATGGTGAATAGATTTGGAGAAAGTGGACAACCTTGTGAATATGGACACTTAAAAGAAATCCCACACTAGCTCAGAATTGAGAATAATAGATGATTAATTACTTAGGGGTGGACTTATGAATCATTGTCTTCTGCTGGAACAGAGGACAGTAACTGAATTCCACAGCTGGAAAGGAGAGCAGATGCACACTTTTCAGCATAAATAGTAAATTTACTACAATATTAACCAAATATTGCCTCAGTTTTCCTCTTGGTCCTTCTGGCCCAGTACAGCCAAACCATCTTGTGCTATATTTAACTTGAGTTATAGTTCCAATTCCTAGTAATTGAACAACTGCCTCTTGAAGAAGCCAATTTGGATGCCAATATTCTGGAGTAATGATACTTACATCAGCACCTGTGTCTATCAAACCAACAATTATAATAGCATTTCTATGCACTCTTAGCCTTTGTCTGTGATCATTTAAAGAAGTCTGCTAGAATATACATTTTCCCTCTCCTATTGGAAATTTATTCTCCATGTTTATGCCATCATCTAAAACAGTATGGTCTTTTACAAAAGGCTCTGAATTTTTTAATTTTTCTGGTGAGACATGTCCTCCATGGTGACTGGG